AGCACCTCCCACTCCCTTCCCACCTCCGGCTTCCAGGCTGTTCCTCGTAGCAGAATTTTTAAATTAGCCAGAACCCTTCCAGATCTGCCCACAGCCCAACCTCTACATCCCGGTCCCAGGCATAAGGGCTGGAAACTGACTTCACTTTATCTCAGGGCCTAGTTTGAGGTCATTCATGGTTCCTTCATGCTTGGGCATTCCTTGGACTCGAGTGTCCCTGGTGCAGAACTTGGCATAAGTAGGAGTCACAATGTCATTTGCCAGTTTTTGTCATTTGTATGAGCATAAACTGATGAGTATTAAACATTTAAACATATAATACACATTTCCCAAAGTTGATTGTCTTTAGCTTTGTGTTTTATGTTTGTAGTAGTTACTAACATAATAATGGTTGGCCAAAATTGTGTGTGTCCCAGTCCATAACCTTTGAATGTAGTATGTAACATAGTTAAAAGAACTTTTCAGGTGTGATTAAGGATATTTATTTATTTACTTATTTAGGCCATACTGGGGTTTGAACTGAGGGCTTCACGCTTGCTTAGGCAGGTACTCTACCCTTGAGCAAGCCCCGTAATTAAGGATTTTGAGTAGGAGAGATTATCTTGGTGGGCCCAATGTAGTTATAAGGGCCCTTATAAGAGGGAGGCAGATGGGTCAGAATGAGAAAAGGAGAGTAATACAGCCACAAGCTGAAGAATGCAGGCAGTTCGTGAAGTTGAAAAAAGCAAGGAATGTGTATTATCCATTACACCCTTCCGAAGACACACAGCCCTGCTGACACTGTGATTTCAGCTCAAGTGATCCATTTTATACTGACCTCCAGAACTGTAAGGTAGTAAATTTGTGTTGTTTTAAGTCACTAACTTTGTGGTAATTTGTTATATAAGCGCTTTGCTGCACAGAAGTTTTTTAACAATTTATAGTTTAAACTTTGAGATAATTGTAGATGCACATTGCAATTGTAAGAAATCTTAGAACTTAGAAATCTGTTATTACATGCTTCCTCCCCAGTGTTAGCATCTGGCAAAATTATAGTACAGTATCATAATCAGGATATTAATGCTGATGCAGTCAAGATACAGAACATTTCCATTGCCACAAGACTGGTACCTTCTGTAGCTTCTGTGGTTTGGATAGGTGTCCCTCAAAGGCCCATGTGTTAAAGAGTAGGTCTCAAGCCCTTGGTGCTACTGGAAGGTGGTGGAGCCTTCAAGAGGTGGGACTTACTGGGAGATCTTTGAGTCGTTATGGGGTGTACCCTCAAAGGGGGGGATTGTAGGATCCCAGGCCCTTCCTCTCTCTTGCTTCTTGGTTGTAAAGTGGGTGGTTTTTGATCCTCCGTATACTCTACCGTAAAAGCACTGGGGCCAACCAGCCATGGACTGACACCTTCAAAACTGTGAGCCATCAAACTAGCAAAAACACTATGTCTTACTATCTCTTATGTTTTCTCTTCAACAAAATCAGAGAACAAGAGGGCAGAAAAAGAATTAAAAAAAAAAAAAACTGTGAGCCAAAATAAACCTCTTCTCTTTACAAGTTGATTATCTCAGGCTTTGTTACAGTAACGAAAAACTGACTAATAGAACAGCCATACCTAATGCCCTCCTGCTCCCATTCTTTCTTTAACCCCTGGTAATTACTAGTCTGGTCACTATTCTATTATTTTGTCATTCAAGAATGTTACATGAGTGGAGTCATATAGTAAGTAACGTTTCATATTGGCCTTTTTCACTCAGCATAAATGCCCTAGAGATTCATTACAGTTTGTTGCATGTAAAAATCTTGATCCTTTTTGGTAGGTGTTTACTACAGTTTATTTAATCACTCATTTGTGGAAAAATACATGGATGGTTTCTAGTTTTGGGCTATTACACATAAACTTGCTGTAAATATTCACACAAAAGTTTTTGTATGAACATAAGTCTTCATTTCTTTGGTATAAATACCAAGAGTACAGTTTTTTGAGAAATTGTCAAACTGTTGTCCAGAGTATCTGTACCATTTTTCATTTTCATTAGCAATTCGTGAGTGATCAGTTTCAACATACTCTTTTCAGCATTTTGGTGCTTTTACTTTTATTTTAGCCATTCAGATAGGTGTATGCAGTGACATCTCAATGAGGTTTTTGTTTGCATTTCCTTAATAGCTAATGATGGATATCTTTTCATGTTCTAAGGCCATCTGTGTATCTTTTTCAGTGAATGGAATGGATCATTGTGTCTTTTGCTCTTTTTCTCATTTGCTTTTCTACTCTTGAGTTTTTCCTTTTGTGGATCTTAATTTTTGTTTAAAGTTTTTGCCTTGCACTTAATCCTGGACATTTTCTCTGGTAAGTTTCAAAGTTTTATATTTTAAGTCTGTGACCCCTTTTGAGATCAGGTCCAGGTACTTTTTTCTTTTTCTTTTTTTCCTATAGTCTAAATGCTTTAGTAGCATTTATCAAGAAGGCTAGTTTTCCTCCATTGGATTGCTTTTGCACCTTTGTCAAAATTCAGTTGGACATATTTTTGTGGGTCTCTTTCTGGATTCTCTCTTCTGTTCTATTAGTCTGTGCATCCATCTCTTTGCCAATAATGCATAATCTTCACTACTATAGCTACTTAAGAATTTCTGAAATTTGGTACCTGCTTCATCTCACTTTAGTCTTACTTCTAAAATATGTGTTGCTTTTCTAGTTATTTTGCCTTTCTATTTAAATTATAGAATAATACTGTCCATATATACAAAAATGTTTACTGTTAATGTTAAGTGCAATAGAACTGTTCGTCGACTTAGAGAAAATTGAAATCTTTACTACTTAGTCTTCCGGTACAGGAACACTTTTATGTAGCTCTTCATTACATTCTGTACTTCTTAACATCAGTTGTTTTCCTGGGTTTTTTCATTTTTGAGTGATTGTTGTTGTTTTTGTGATACTGAGAATCAAACCCACTGTCTCCTGAATGCTAGGCAAGAACTCTGCCACAAACTACATTCCCAGCCCATTTGTACTTTTGTACCCAGTCTTGCTAGGTTGCCTAGTCTGACCTTGAACTTTGGAGCCTCTTGCCTCAGCCTCCCAAGAGGCTGCCATTACAGGTGTGCACCACCACATCTGGCTTGTATTTTTACTATTGGTGTTTATATGTTCCTTATCAGTATGTGGAACTTCAGCTGATTTTTAACATCAGTCTTGAATTCTGTATCCTTGTGTAGTTGAGTGGGGAGGAGGGAGGTTGGCGCAGTGGGGCAGTGTGTGTTTAGTATATGTAAGACCTCTGCGCTTAATCCTCAACACCACAGAAAAACCAAAACAAAAACACTCCAAACCAGAATTATTTGTTTAGATACACACACCTGTTGCTCCGTCTACTCTGGAGGTTGAAGCAGAAGGATCAATTGAGCCCAGGAGTTTGAGGGCAAACTGGGTAACTCAGTAAGACCCATCTCAGGAAAAGATAAAAATAAAATTTTGGAGGGAAGAGGTTAGTAGTTCAAATGTGACCTAGGTTCAGGAGTGAGATTGGCTTGTAAGTTTTTCTTTCTTCTAAAATAGTTTATATAAATTAAAATGATTTTTTTTCTCTGAGTTTTAGCAGAATTTGCCTGTAAAACTCTGTGTCATGATTCTCATCATGGGAATATTTCTTAATTACTAATTGAAGTTTATTACTTTTGTTATTTTTGTATAAATTTGTGTTTCAGAGTTTTCATGTAAATTGATAGTTATTTATTATATTAGCCTGCCTTTTGAATGTTTGCAGTATCTGTAATTGTGACTCTCTTTTCATTCCTATTATTTGGGTACATTTTTTTCCTTTTTTGCATTGATCAGTGTCCTTTCCCCAGTATGGGAGGGAAATTGAACTCAGGACCTTGTGCTTACTAGGCAAAAGCCCTCTAGACCCTTTTGCTTTAGGTAAAATTTCAGGCAGGCCTCAGAATACAATCCCTCCTATTAACTCGCCCCTCCTCCCATGCTGGGTATTGAACCCAGGGCCTTATGTGTGCTAGGCAAGTGCTCCTCTGTTGCCGAAGATTCTTTTGCTACTTCTCCAAGTGCTTAGGATAGATGCTTAGTCCATTAATTTATTTTTAACTCTTCTTTTTGGAGGAGATAGGAGGGAGGAGGGATTAATTTGAGTGCTGAGCACTCATTCTACTCTACCACTGAGCTACAGTCAGCCGCCCTGTTTTTTTTCCCTTTTTGTTTTTCTAATGTGATTTCTTAAAAGACTCTCTTTTCATAATCAGTCTTTTTGCCACATCCACAAAGTTAGACACAGAATCTTTTTATTTACTACTATAGACTCATGAGGTTTTAGAAGTTTCTAAACATTTTTTAAAAAGCTTTCTTTTTGTTATGGTTGTCAGAGAATACAGTTGTAGGATACCAGTTACATGGAAGTTGTTGAGACTATGGCCTGGTATTTTATCAATTTTGTGTATGTTCTGTATGTATTCTTCTGTTTGGAAATAATGTTCTGTTATGTATTAGATGAAACTAATTAATGTGGTATCAGTTCTTCTATGACTTTACTAGTGTTTTTGATACTTTACTTGTTTTATTACTGAAATAAGTAGGTTAAAAATCATCCTCTGTAATAATGGATTTGTCACTTTCTCCTTATGGTTCTACCAGTCCGTTTATTGTGGGTTTGCTCCCTCTAACTCTGAAAAGGACGAACAAAACAAAAAAAGCAAACAAAATAGTGTTCCAAAGCATGTTATTTGGCACAAGTTTCAATTTTACCTATATATTGTATAGAACTGTATCATTTGTATAATGAACTTTATTTCTAGCAATGGTTTTTGCTTTAAAGTTAGTTTATGTGATACTGATATAGCAACACTAGTTTTTTTTTTAAATTAGTATTTGCCAGGTGTGTTTTTTCCCCATGTTTTCATTTTGAACCTTTCACCATCCTTAGATTTTTAAGTATGTCTTTTTTGAAAAGCATATAGACTACTTAAACTGCTACTTCAACTTTTATAAAAATATTTTCTGTGTGTTACAGTGCTGAAAAATGGCAGAAGAAGTAGTGGTTGTAGCCAAATTTGATTATGTGGCCCAACAAGAACAAGAGCTGGACATCAAGAAGAATGAGAGATTATGGCTTCTGGATGATTCTAAGTCCTGGTGGCGAGTTCGAAATTCCATGAATAAAACAGGTTTTGTCCCTTCTAACTATGTAGAAAGGAAAAACAGTGCTCGGAAAGCATCTATTGTGAAAAACCTGAAGGATACCTTAGGTGAGTTGTTTTTGTATTAAAGGAAAAATTAACTTTCTTTTTAGTGGATTCTGGAGTTTAGATCTTTGTACAAAGTTCTGATAGCAGTGGGCAGAGTAGACTTGGAAAGCCAGGACTGGCATTTCAGTTAGGCACGGTAAGTTCTGTTCAAGGCAGCTGTTCAAGCCAGGAGACCCTCAAAAGTCATAAGTGTTAGAAGTTTGTATAAACCTGGAGCCAAGTTCACAGGTCAAGTAGTGCTAAGGAACACAGCTAACACTGACCTTCAGCAAGAGCTTGTTGAATGGTGATTTAGAGGAAAATTCTGCCTTTAATTGAGGCAGGAAAAAAGTGAGTAATATGCAGAATTGCCTCCTTGGGCATTAGGACAATTTATCTTACATGGCAAATAAGTCGATTTTAATATCTGGTGGCTTAACACTTTGAACTTCTCTTTAAAAAACTAACCATCATTTTATTTTATTTGCAAAGAGTTTTAAACTGTGGGTCATTATTGTATATTAGCACCTGTGGGTCCAATCTCTACTATTTTGTTTTTCTCTTTTTCCCTCCTTAATTCCTCTCCCACCTCTTTCTATATATCTGTCCATCCATCTATCTATCCATCTATCTATCTAGATAGCTATCTATCTTTTTTTTTTTTTTTTGTGGGGCTGGGGTTTGAACTCAGGGCATTCCAGTGTTTGAGCCACACATTCAAAGCAGGCACTCTACTGTTTGAGCCACATCTCCAGTCCATTTTGCCCTGGTTATTTTGGAGATGTGGTTTTGTGAACTGTTTGATTGGGCCGACCTTGAAGTGTGATCCTCCTGATCTTAGCCTTCCAAGTGGCTGGGATTATAGGTATGAGCCACTGCTGCATCAGGCTGTTTTTAAACTTTTTGCTGGCTAGAGACAGTGGAGCCTGCTTTACCCTAGTCTTGGCTAAGCTGGCAGGAAGGAAGTATGCACGGGTGAAGACTGTCTCTACCTTTTTTTTCTTCTTAATTCTCCTTAGCTAACAGGAAGGAATTGGGAGGGACAGGAATTAATTTTTGTGTTCAGACAGATGTGCTGTTGCTTAATTTTCTTTGTATGTAGAAGAGAAGAAAAATTTCTTCTTACAAAGACAACTTGGGACAATGATAGCATGATTGGCAATATGAAATATTATTTTAACTTTGAACTTAGAGTTTTTGTTTCTTATTCAAGATTATTTTAATTATCAGCAATAGACAAATGTTTTATGTTTTTAATCATCATAAGACAGCAAAAACTAAAATACAGTACAATTCAGAGTTAGAGCTCCACAGAGTATTGGAATATCACCTTCTGAACTGAAGACATTGCCAGCGTGCTAAAGGCAATTTAATAGATATAGTTACCATGACATTTAACTGCCCAGATAACTTTTTATATCTAAGTTTTAGGAAATCTCTGTTAACTTTATTACAGTATTGCAGTTATTGCTATCTATATTCCATGGTGTTTTGAAATAATGTTTTAACCTATAGTAATATAAGTCTATCTAGCTTTTGCATCTGACAGGCTTCTCCTTTTCTCAGAATTTCTGCACCCCTTTTTGGGAGCTTAAATATCCCATTTAATTGATGGGTTTGTTTCATAATGATTGTGTTAGTAGAGACATTGTTTGGAAATTAACAAGGAAAAGGAGGAAACAAAGGAAAGGAAGAATGCAGGAATATATTTTTAATTATTAAAAGCATATTTGCTCTAATGTTTCATCCAAAATAAGTCTTAATTACAAGGTCATGTTTTTGGCCATCATGAGTTACTTGTTTTACAGGTTCTTGCGTAGTTTAGAGGAAAGAAGTTTTGGAAAGAGAGGCCGCTGGAAAACTTTCTATTGTGAGGGTGTGGGCCGGGTCACATGGTTGGGGTGTGGGATGTGTCAGTGTTGCAGAGTAGACCAGGAAGCTCGCTAAGTATCCTGAGTTGTGTGAGCGAGCTCACAGAAGAGAACACAGACTTGTTCAGAATGGATTGGTTAAACATCTTTAAAGATTTTTTCAGTAAGTTACTGTGTTTAGTAAGTCAGTTTTCTTGTTGTAGTTTTTGAATTAGATTTCTCACTCTTAGGAATTTAAATGGAAACTCTGTGTAGAATACTTAGGTGGTACTTCATGTTTATGTATACAAGGTAAAGGATTGATATTTCAAATGCTGTTGGTTTTGACTTGTAAGTAATTTTAAAATGTTTTAGTATGAATGTTTAAATAGCAAATGGGGAAAGGATATAGACATTTTGGATTTGAATAGTTAATTCTAATTCAGAAACTTTCAACTTAACATAGACATTTAAAGTGAATTAAATAAACATTAAAAACGTTTTAAGAAAAAGGATTAAGTGAACAGATTCCTTTATTCTTGACCTTTGGATTAAAAGTGATAATGTTTTGCAAAGTTTTACCTAGATTTTGTAGGAACAGTTTAAAAATAATGTAATAAAGGCACTAATAAAATACTGATTTACAAGAGCCTAATCTATAAGTGCTGAGAGCCTTGATTTGATCTCCTCGAATATTTGTTTGGTATTTCTTTAAAAAGGAACACAGGAATACTATAGAAGTCCCTTATACACAAGGAGCCCAAGGAAACAAAGAGAGATCTGATGAGTCTAAGGAAAAGGGCAAAATAGCAAAGGAGTGAGCATTTTGTTGAAAAAGAATGTTGTGATATGAGGACTCATTTGTTTCTTCAGTTCACTTTGGTAGCTAAGTGAATAATTCTGGAATATGTCTCATAACTTCTCTTTACTTTTATACTTTTTTTGAGAATTATTAAGTTCTTAGATCTTTGTATTTCCAATTTGGTGGTTAAGTTTTTGGTGGGACTGGGGTTTGAACTCAGGGCTTCACACTCTACCACTTGAGCAACACCTCCAGTCCATTTTTCCTCTGGTTATTTTGAGAACTATTTTCTTAGGCTGGTCTCAAACCATGATCCTCCTGATCTCAACCTCCCAAGTAGCCAGGATTACAGGTGTGAGCCAAAGCCACCAGCTAATTTTCTTTTTAAAGAATTTATTCGTCAATATGCTCATCAGCATATTGTTATTGAGAGCCTACTGCAAGCCAGACAAAAATCATAGAATGAAAAACTAATATTAACTCTCATAGAACTCATATTCTGGTGGGGAGTTAGATGATGGCTGTTATTTATTAATAATGAGGCAGTGGATTTTGTATCTAGATGGATCATAAGTGATACTGATCATAAATCAACCAGAAATAGTATAAAAATATATGGTATCATTGATACAGTGACTCAATACATAACATCTTATCAATACAATGATAAAATTTTTTCCTCTACTGAATCTTAACAAGTTAATGGTTAATTTTAAATTCATTTGTAGTCCAAGGGCCCAGATTTGAGATGTGTAATCAGAATATTTCTTTTCCTCAATCTCTGCAGCACCCCTGATTTATACTTGTTTTGTCAGGCAGCTTGTCAGAGTAGAAACAGGCTGTTTATTCACCTGCTTTCTAAAAGGACTTAAAAAGTTGAGGGAAAAGGTATAGGCTCCTTGTGTGGTAGACAGAATATACTTGATAATGAAAATTGCACAGTGTTTTAGATAAAACAATAATAATAATAATCAGCAATTTGCTTCATATAGATAAACATAAAACTTAATGTAAAGAATGCCATATATTTGTATTTAGAATTACTTAGTTCTGCTCACAAATAAACCATGTACTAGCCTTGTGGCATAAGATATATAACTAAATTTTCCTAATTTCCTGTGCTTTCTTTGTAGAAGAGAGAGTTGAGTAGGACTTGATGAGCCTGGAATGTACCTTCCAACTCTAAAATCCTTACAGTTCCGGTAAACAATTAAGTGGTCTCATGTGTGTCATAGGAATGGGGGAAATGGATGGGAGAGAAACTGGTTTTGAAGAAGTTGGGACATAAGAACAGAGTAATGATAGTTCACTGAGGAATTGGAAGAAGTAGCAGCGCTTTCTTGGAATCAATTTTATTGAACATTTACTCAGTGATTTAAATGAAGATAAAATGTTATGCTTAATAAACTAAAGAAGACCTGATGTTGGAAGCAATAACTAATAAAAGAAACTGAAAAGATTGATAAGAACCTAGCCTGGTAGCATAAAAATCTCATAGTCCATGGTGGCATTGAGTCAAGTCTTAGAGGTGTTCAAGTAAGGCTCCCTTATATGTGTGCTGGCCAGTGAAAACATGACAGTTTATTCTGGGATAAACTGGGATAGCTTCCTATTCATATTCTCATTCTCATTTTCTCTCTCTGAGCCTTACGTGTTCTAGGCAAGCACTCTACTGCTGAACTACAACCCAGCCCTTATTTCCTACCACTAGCACTACTAGGATTTAAATTCAATGGAGATAGGGTCTCAGGAACTATTTGCCAAGGTTGCCAACTATTTGTCAAATCTCAATCCTCTTGATCTCAGCCTCCCAGATAGCTAGGATTACAGGTGTGAGCCACTGGTGCCTGGATGAACCTTGGTTGTTTTGAGACAGGGTCTGACCATGCAGTTCATGCTCGTCTTGAACTCCCTATGTAGCCCAGACTGATGTGGAATTTGCAGTCCTCTGCCTCTACCTCCTGAGTCTTGGGATTATTTGTCCCAAGTCACCCCACCCGGCTTGGGATAGATGTACATTAACCATGATATTGAGAAACTCCAATGTTCCCAGTACTGGCATCCAGTATATCAAGGATTTGGAAACCAGGTTATATAAGGAGAAGTTATTGGTACAAAGATTTGCCTTGGGAAGAGGAGAGCTATTACACAAAAATGGAATGTTTCAGTTCTTAAAAACTTTTGAGGATCTTACAATGCATTGTCTGGTTAAGAAGCATTGCTGTAGGAACAGAGAAGTAAGACCAGTAGTAATACTGAGAGAAGAATGGAAGTTATACTAACAATTTTTTTAGAGCTAATGGTAAAAAAAAATTAAAAGACTGTCTCATTTGCATACCTTCTCTGTGCTTCAAACTTAGCATTTCCTG